TACCAACCTCAAATGTGTGTTAAGTTCCCCAATCTCCAACCTTTCATCAGATATGTAACCTACTGTACATGAATTGAAAAAATTGAACAATCTAATAATCTGAGATTGCGAAAACGAAAGGATTTATGAATTAACGTTGATGCGTTCCAAATCCCTGGCAGCAGTTTCAGCGAGACGTCTTCTTTGGTACAGATATAGTTAACCAAAGGCAAACTGCGAAAATGATCTACAGTGATAACACTTTGCATGTATCCGATACGATAGTGTATTTGCGAAGGTGGATACGTTTTTTCATAATGCGTATTTGTGAGAAGTTCTTAAGATACCTTTTAGGAAAACTAAACAACGTTCCACAAGGTTTACATAGTTCCGGGACGTTTGTGCACATTTTAAATATACATTTCATACTGATCAGTATTACATTACTACATGCTTCCCATTCTTGAAAAAGTATGTACATTTATTTGCTACCCCTGTTTCCATTAGTTTCTTCGGTTTGAGCTTCAAATTAGGAGTAAGGTGCATAGTATGTACCATGAAACTTTCCAATTCACCTCCTTTCAATTGTGAAGATAAAATGTTTTAAAATTTTACCAAGCTAAGCAAAGCACTTTTTTAACTGTAGCTTTCGAGTAACGAAAACGCTGGTGCAGGTAAAAACATTATATACGGCAAGTAAATAAGGTTTCTACATTTTTGCAACGCACATAAAACTACAGATTAACAATTTAAATTAGAATACATGTTCATAAGCAAATTTCTCCCTGGACTTGGGATCCTATTGAAAGCGTGCTAGCAAAAATGCCTGCCATTTGCGTCCCAGTATGTTTTTTATCACCGTACCAAATCGAAATTTAAAAAAATGCGTCAATAAGAAAGTACCTGAAACAATGTCCAATTGCATCTTTCATAAACTTTCTTACCATTATTGGGCATGAACAACAGGTAAGTTTTCATCACACAAGTTGATCATTATTAAATCTGATTTCGTCCCGACAATTTCTATCGACTTAAAATGCGGAATTTGAATACTTTTAACAAAGTAGAATGTGTTGAAATGTGGGCATCCCAAGTAATATAGTTTGAGGTTGAATATGT